TGATCCTCCCGTTCTGCCACATTGTTCGAACATTTCATGTCACAATATTAATTGGTGCTCAGTGTATTAAAAGAGGCATTGGCCTCTTGACTTCTGAGAGCTCTCGGTTTTCACCATGAGATATCATAATTCATTTGAATGACGAACCTTCAACTCAGAGGACAGAATTTAAGTGATTTAGATAGTTTTCTAACAATTGTCATATTTTGACAGTGATGGTTTCTACGAGATAGGGTTCCCGAGTCTACGCCTGACCTTCTTACTTTACCTGGGGTTGGGACAGTCAGTAGCTTTTGACGAGCTAGAGGCGGAGTTATCAGTCAAAATAGTGTAGGTGAATTCACTATTGACCTTTTTCTTAGGTACTGATCTGTATCATTATCATTGACCTAATTTCCATTCGAGAAATACATTCTTTATTTTGAGATCATCTTGTCAAGATTTACTATTCCCCACTACAATGGAACTGATACTACTACTACTACTACTACTACTACTACTACTACTCTTGGATATAACTTGACCATTTCATATTTGCTCATTTGACGATTCTAACTAGTATAAATGAACGCTAGGTTCTGCATTGCATATGGATAACTGGTATATATATATATATATATATATATATATATATAACTGCCTGAAGTCCCTCCGGGGGCTACTGCCGGTCCCAAGCCCGGATAAAGGAGGAAGGTTGGGAATGGGGTTAGCGTCCCCATCCCGTAGAAAACTAACTCGCTATAAAAACGCTAACCAGTAAAAATTATTCAAACCTTTTAAACTCTGCCCTGGGAATCAGAAGGTCTTCATTTAGAAGAACTATGACGCCTCATGATGAAAGCCGAATTCCTTCGGAAGTTACGAGGCTGATGCCCCTTCTGACAACCAGAGCGACCATCTATTTAGGTACATGGAATGAGAAGATACAACCTAGAGGTGCTTGGGATCAGTGAAACCCATTGGACGCAAGTTGGACAACAACGACTAACTTCAGGAGAGCTTCTGTTATACTCCGGCCTTGAAGAAGAAAATGCCCAACATACACAAGGAGTTCATTGATGCTGTCCAAACAAGCGCAAAATGCGCTTATAGGATGGGAATCTCATGGACCAAGGATCATCAAAGCCTCGTTCAAAACAAAGAACGAGGGTATTTCAATGAACATCATCCAATGCTATGCGCCTACCAACGACTACAATGAAGTCGCTAAAGATCAATTCTACAATAGGCTGCAGTCAATCATCGAGAAGTGGCAAACAAAGGACTTGACCATTCTGATGGGAGATTTCAACGCCAAGGTTGGAACGGACAACACTGGATATGAAGACATCATGGGACGTCAAGGAATGGGAGAAAGGAACGAAAATGGTGAGAGATTTGCAAACCTATGTGCCTTCAATAATTTGGTCATAGGCGGCACCATATTCCCACATAAACGCATTCACAAAACCACATGGACTTCACCGGATCACACCACGCAAAACCAAATCGACCATAGTTGCATCAGCAAAACGTTCAGGAGGACTATAGAGGACGTGAGAATCAAGAGAGGAGCTGATATAGCATCAGATCATCACTTGCTGGTCGCCAAGATGAAATTGAAACTCAAGAAGCACTGGACAATGGGGCGGACAATATCACAAAAGTTCAATACGGCCTTTCTTCAGGATACTAACAAACTCAACAAATTCAAGATAGTCCTCAGCAACAAGTTCCAGGCCTTTCATGATCTACTCAATGGAGAAGGAACTACTGTGAAGAGCAACTGGAAGGGGATCAAAGAGGCAATCACTTCAACATGTTATGAGGTCCTGGGTCACAAGAAGCACAATCACAAGGAATGGATCACTGTTGATACACTGGATAAGATTCAAGAAAGGAGAAACAAGAAGGCAGCAATCAATACCAGTCGAACAAGAGCAGAAAAAGCCAACGCGCAAGCTGAATACACAGTAGTAAACAAACAAGTGAAGAGGAGCATCAGAACCGACAAACGTAAATACGTGGAAGATCTAGCAAAGAAGCGGAAAAGGCTGCAAGAGAAGTGAACATGAGACAACTGTATGACATAACAAAGAAACTCTCTGGAAATCGCCGCAAACCAGAACGACCAGTGAAAAGCAAGCAAGGCGAGGTAATCACTAACATTGAAGAGCAACAAAACAAGTGGGTAGAACACTTCAAAGAACTCTTGAATCAACCAGCTCCATTGAACCCACCCAACATCGAAGCAGCAACCACGGACCTCCCAATCAACGTTGGCCCACCAACAATTGAAGAAATCAGCATGGCCATCAGATAAATCAAGAGTGGCAAAGCAGCAGGACCAGACAACATTCCAGCAGAGGCACTAAAAGCAGACGTAGCGGCAACTGCAAGGATACTCCACATTCTCTTCAATAAGATTTGGGATGAGGAACAAGTACAAAAAGACTGGAAAGAAGGACTTCTGATCAAAATACCGAAGAAAGGCGATCTCAGCAACTGTGGTAACTACAGGGGCATCACTCTTCTTTCAATACCGGGAAAAGTCTTCAACAGAGTATTGTTAAACAGGATGAAGGACTGCGTAGACGCCCAACTTCGTGACCAACAGGCAGGATTCCGTAAGGATAGATCATGTACAGACCGAATCGCAACTCTACGGATCATTGTGGAACAATCAATTGAATGGAATTCATCACTCTACAACAACTTCATTGATTACGAAAAGGCATTCGATAGCGTGGACAGAACAACACTATGGAAACTTCTTCGACACTACGGCGTGCCTCAGTAGATAGTCAATACCATACAGAATTCCTATGATGGATTAAACTGCAAAACCGTGCATGGAGGACAGTTGACAAAGTTGTTCGAAATAAAGACCGGTGTAAGGCAACATTGTTTACTCTCACCCTTTCTCTTTCTCCTGGTGATCGACTGGGTCATGAAGACGTCAACATCTGAAGGGAAACGCGAGATACAGTGGACATCTAGGATGCAATTGAACAATCTGGACTTCGCAGGTGATCTGCCCCTTCTATCCAAAACGCATCAACAAATGCAGGAGAAGACGAACAATGTAGCAGCAGCCTCAGCAGCAATAGGTCTCAATATACACAAAGAGAAGAGCAAGGTTCTACGATACAGCACAGCATGCACCAATCCAATCACAATTGACGGAGAAGATTTGGAAGATGTAAAAACCTTTACATATCTGGGCAGTATCATTGATGAACATGGTGGATCTGATGCAGATGTGAAGGCGCGGATCGGCAAAGCAAGAGCAGCATATTTACAACTGAGGAACATTTGGAACTCAAAGCAACTGTCAACCAACACCAAGGTCAGGATTTTTAATACAAATGTCAAGACAGTTCTACTGTATGGGACGGAAACCTGGAGAACTACGAAAGCAATCATCCAGAAGATACAGGTGTTTATTAACAGTTGTCTACGCAAAATACTTCAGATCCGTTGGCCGGACACTATTAGCAACAACGTACTGTGGGAGAGAACAAACCAGATCTGAGCGGAGGAGGAAATCAGGAAGAAGCGCTGGAAGTGGATAGGACACACATTGAGGAAAGCACACAACTGCGTCACAAGACAAGCCCTCACATGGAATCCTCAAGGCCAAAGGAAAAGAGGAAGTCCAAAGAACACATTACGCTGAGAAATGGAAATAGACATGAAAAAGATGAACAAGAATTGGATGGAATTAGAAAAGGAGGCCCAGGACAGAGTGGGTTGGAGAATGCTGGTCGGCGGCCTATGCTCCATTGGGAGTAACAGGCGTAAGTAATATATATATATATATATATATATATATATAATGCGCTATACCTCTGTGGCAAACCTCACAGTGTTAACGATCCAAATAGAAAACAGTGTGCAGTGTTCATAGAAACGAGAATAAACCATTTTAAGTTCATTTTAAAAACAGCTTTTTTAGCAACATAGAATTTCGAATAACTCAACACTTTACAGTCACTTTAAACAGAGTTATGCTAACATTATGAAAATTCATAATTTTAAATACTGAGCAGTCTGTTTAACAGAACAAAAAAATAACAATGAAAAGGTTATCCATATGGTATCATCAAAATAAATAAAATGAACAAAAATAAAAATCTAAGTACAATCTAATGTATTAGTGGTAGCACATCGTAACACTTATACTACTTCAGTAAACCCGGTTCTTGATGTCAGTGCATTACATCAAGAATGAGATCTGACTAACATTAAATACGAAAGTGATTTGAAACAGTAAACTGACCTCTAGTCAACAAACTGTTCAATATTACTTTTCAGGGCAAAGATATGAAATCCGACAGTTAGAAAATACATATCGTGTTATTATTCATAGTAAAGGGGATGCACCCATTAAGACATTAAATATTAAGGATCAGTTGAGCAAATAGTTCTCCTCTTTTCGGCGAATTCATTTTCGAAGCTGTACAATCGCAAAAATATATACTTATTTTTACAGGACGATAATAACCTTACTGTCACCATGTCAAACGAAATTCTATTAGCAGTATCAATATCATCCTGTAAAAATAAGTATATATCTTTGCGATTGTACAGCTTCGAAAATGAATTCGCCGAAAAGAGGAGAACTCTTCGCTGAACTAATCTTTCTTATTATTATTCATACACCAAGTATTTATGTTAATCAAAAGACTTATCACTATCACAGCGTATATTCAGAATATAATCATGAACTTCGAAATGATACCACCTTTGATCATATCCTTCTCTGAAGTCCTGTGTACCATAATTTTAACAAACCTGTCATTAATATTCATTCCAAACAATTTGATAAATCGCGTCTTTTCAAATAATCTATCCTTACTATTATTGAGCCCTTTTCTCTACCTTGTATCAATCCAATAATCCGATAACTTAGAGTGAATTCTCTAGTTATACACATAATATGGTTAACTATTATTAACTGAGTGCATTAAAGTGCATAAAAGTGCATATAACAAATATGATATCCATTCAAAAAGTCACTAGCGAAAATGCGTGGTTATTAAGGTAGCAAGCATTTGAATGAAAGTGAGCATTGAAATGAGAATAGAATTTTTAAGGATGTGAAATACGTTCAATCTGCTCTCTGTCTCTTTGCCTCTACAATAAATTAAAAACATAGTTATCTAAACGTCTAATGAAATGTTCACTTGATTCCTGGGAAAATATATTGTGATTCACTTGGAACGATCTAGTATTAAAACCGGAATATCATTTATTGTGTAACGATCGAATACAGTTTTAACACGTTACATGGAGCAACATACCTGCCATTGCCAGAGAAAATCATACTTTCGTGCTTATTATTATCATCACTCAAAGTTGTCAACAAGTGACAGTATACTTCCCTGAAATAAATCAGTTCGTTCCAGATACAAGATCAATAGTAATACTGAATCAAAAATTGAACATTTTAATATCGAGTGAGTCGGCTTATTGGGTGTATGATCAATTTGAAAAATAGTATTTAAATAGACCAAAACGTAATTAGTATTATTACTATTATTATCTTGATTTCGCAATAACTGTTTAATGTAAATTTTTATTAATGGTTATCATTTAAAATCGACGACAAAAGCAATACTCTTGTAGTGTTAGTCATTATTTTTATGCCCATATACCTTATTCTAGTTTTCGGACAAACCAGTCTATTCATTCTACTTGAGTCATATGTTGACCTTGTCAATTATTCGCTTGTCAGTCTTGATTGTTTTTATATGAGCGTATATGTGTGTGCACATCAGATCACATGACTCATTGCATGTCTGTAGCTTTATTTTGTCTGACTATAAATATTGATTAACGCCTGACTAAAAATGAGTTGGCTTACCAGCTATCTCCACTCTGCGTTGCTTCTCTTCCTTCTACTCCATTCAGCTCATATACAAAATATATGTATTCAACATCCCATCCTCGTTATTTGACTTATTTAATTCCGTTATTGGATAACGTGATTTAAGTTGACGATTATATACGAGAATATGCGATAGCAAACATTTATACGATCTAAATAGGAGTCAGATCCACGGGCCACTAAACTCTTCTCTGAAGGTAACAATTTCGTTCTAAACAGAGGACTTACTGTAATATCGGATTTATTACAATGCCTATGAACTGTCGTTGTTAAGTCAATGACATAACCGAACAATATGATTTGCATAGATCAACGCATAATTGGTATTGTTATCTTGATTTTTACAAAACCTGGTTAATTTATTGAATATTTAAATAATAACAGGGAATCAAAATAAAGTCTAGATATACCATGGTATATATCTAGAACTATAAAATGAAATTCATACATCTTGTCCTTCTCGGTGTAATATTATGGCATGATGATTACCGAAAATATAAATTGTGGATTTAATTGTCGAATTTTTATTTACTAAGCTTCAATTGATTACTGTTATGGTGTTTTAAGTACAATGATAATTCAGCAAATAATTACTAGGTGATCCGATCACTTTCAAATATTTAACTGAATAGTAGGTGAAAAAACAAACAAATAAGAATGAAGTAACACATCTACTTATTATTATTTTGGTCATTAATAATTACCGGCTAGTGGAAATTACTTCATAATTAACATGATATAAGAACATATCGTTTAACTATTAAAACTTATTAATACCACTTGAACTGACATACGCATTGTATACCCTTAATTCACAATAAGATGATGGTAGCTATATTCTACCTTCTTGAAAACATCATATAAAACGTACTGAAAGATTGCATGACTCATAAGTGTTAACTACACACAACAATGAGCTATATACACAAGGAAGAATATTCTGACGTTTATCATTTAGTGATATAACAGTATTATTGATATCTTTATGTTCTTAGATAAACTGCTTTCATCTGTTACACAATTTCTAATTATTCCTATCAGTCTGATTTATGTATGTAAATTTGCAATTTCTTTGTCAATTCTGAAGATAAATGTACTATCAACAGAATAATTTTTTCAGTTAGAATATCTTTGTCAACCCACTATAAACGAATTCGTCAAATTCTATGTAGAATATCATAAACCTTTCTTCATTTAACTAACTTTTTTCATTGACGTAAGAAAAATGTCATGAATATGCTGAAGAGTAACTGCATAAAATATTTGACCAGCCATATCGTCACTTACCTAAAGAATGACATTATTTACCTAACCGGGTTCTTGAATTTTGTTGACAGTTATATTTCCATCATTCCTTTACTTGCCTTGAACAAACAATTTTGAACTATAGAAGTACTTCTTGTTGATTTCGATCAATCTTATTAGCATATTTTCATCACAGTAATCACTGCCTTTCTTAAATAAACGTTACATATTACGTTTGTAAAGTGAATTCAGTTAGTAAGCAGGAAACTCTGAACGATGAAATAATATTTCAATGATACCTTGCTTTCTATCATGATCCATAATACAAACTGTTGGTAAAACGATTTTATTTTAGTGGGGTTATAAAATGTACAAATTTAAATTATGCATAAATGCATTTTAATGTCTCGAAAGAGAGTGCCACATGTTTGATTCTTATCTACATAATTTTATTTAATACACTTATTGAGAAAATACGGAGTTTGCATATTAACTCTAAATATTTATTCAAATGTTTGAATCGAACAGAGATTTATGAGGACAGAAAACTGATTCCACCTAGATTTAAGTATTTTGAACTTAGTGTACGGTTTAAAAGGTAAATCAACTACCGGAAAGGAAATGAGCAGATGAGTTATGTAAATAACACCTAAATATCAAGACAAAACAAATATTATCCAAATGTCAAACATATTATTCTTAACTTCAGATTCTTCAGAACGCTAGAAAACTAAAAACGTTAGGAAAATAGTGATAAATTGTTGAATCACTTTATTTTCAAACATGTCATTTTGTGTGACAATATTAATGCAGTGATATTTCAGTCAATAAGGTTGAGGTTTAACGTTCGAAATTGACCATTTTTGAACCATGAAACAACCGAACGTATAAAAGTGTATGTAAATATCGCAGAAAACAATATACGAAATTAAATTCCTAATATCTAGTACCTTAGGTTATGTAATATTTCCAAATCACTTTTATAAACAATGGTTTGAAGTAGCCAGTTATTTTTAAGGAACAAGAATTCTAGCTGATTTGATGGTCAGCTTATCAAGGAAATTATTTAATGCTAAATATTTTAACTATCTAGGTGAAATGATAAGATACTAAATCATACTAGATATGAATACGTAGATTTACTGAGACCATTACAATGAAACAGAAATGAGAACAGCTGAACTTCAGAAGCATTAATTTGTAATATAGATTTTAGACGAGACTATAATTTATGGACGACCTTTGAACGAATCTTAAGTAACTTTGAGAATATCAGCCGATCAGCAAACAGTCAGCATAGAGTAAAAATATATTATACAAAACCAAAGAAATATAGTGGATACACTTCTTGTACATGGTTCAAAAAATTGACAAGGTTAGAAAGAGGTTCAGAGGTTCTAAAATCATCATGCATGCAGCAGAGGAAATCATCCATACGGCTTCAGAATAGTCGTCTTTAGGAGCCATGATAAAGTTTCAAAAACTCTTTCAGCCTCGACCACATAGCTTCAATATTGTTTGTGTGCACTCCGGTTGTTGAGTACACAAAATGCCACTTGTGGATAACGACACGATGCACATAACCAAGCCTATGTATGAGTCTGTACGCTCTCCAATCATTCGTATATATTGTAGTAGCTGGCTGCAGCCAGTGTTGCAGTTGCTTTTATTATCCAGTTCGTACTAATTGTCGTAATTTGCCTTAATTGGGGATTATATATAGTGTTTTTATTCACGAACTTACATAAACTATAATGCCAAAACTATTTGGCCAAATGGATAAAAAGGCTTTCACACCGAAATCCGAGATTTGTTATCTAATACCTAATTGGTTCGTCCACAAATTATAGTCTCACCGTTTTATTTGTTTCAGCCGCTCAATTATCACGTTTTGCATAAAATCTCCTGTGAACCGATCGTACGTCAGCATTAAGTACTGAAGTTGGCGCCGTAAACTTGAAATCCCTCAAACACTTATGATTGGCTCGTCCATGAATTATAGTCTCGCTGGATTTCTATTTACATAAATACATGATCATATAACGATATTTTGCTTAGATGAAAGTTATTTATATTCAAACTTAAGATAAAGTAGAATTAACTTATAATTAAATACTTATCAGTATCACAGCTTAAAAGGAAAGTATCACTGATAACTAAGCTAAAATTAATTTCCATGCTGTGTGGTAAGTGAAATATGATTATCGAAATGTAGTTCCAATTATAAATGTTTTATTAGATATAGACATAATACTTAACTAGAATTGATGGATTGCTGTTTGACAAATTTGATTCAACAATTAAACACTGAAACAAAGCTTTCATTCTTATCTTGTTTAGTATAAGTAATCAATAATTATATACATATATAGGATGCCTTCAAAAATATAGATAAACAAAACTATCTCGGACAAAATATCGTTACAGAAATAATAATCAGATGCTACTCTCTTGTCCTAACAACTATAACTTTTACGATCCCATACTAGAACGAAACGGCCGTCCAGTGCTTCCAGGTTTTCCATGGCGGTCTAGCTTTAATTGACTCATCATTTCAACTAGTGAAATTTCTAAAATCTCCACACAACCCCTTCTCATTTTACAATTATTGTTAAATTTAATTTTCCACTAGATAAACTATATCAAGTTTTGATTTAGTAAAGTAAGTAGTATTAGGAAAATATATACTTAAATGCAGATCATCTAAACAATTAATGAATATCTTTTCTTTAAATTAATTCAAACTTAATAAATAGTTAATCGAGCCGTTTGTTCATCAATGCCAAAATTATATAAGAAACATACTATTTAAATTAAATGAGTCTTGTGACATATATGAAAGAGAGAAAGGAATCATTACGCAATCAAATGATCATTATGATGTATGTACTATTTGAGTATCTAAGTAATCATTAAATGTAAATCTTCATTTCTTATCTATAATAAGAATGTTATTTTATATGATGAAAATAATTTATAAATAGTTCTTATAGAAATTATCAATCAACAAAGTTTTTTTGGTTGAGCGGCATTTTTAAAAAAATTCTTAATTGAAGACAATGGATTTAGTTTAATGAATAAATCATACTTTCTTACAATGTAAAAGTAAAATAAACTTCGATCAACTTAGAATATTAAATGATTCGTATTCGTTATTTGTAGATTATAACAAAGATGATCCCTATCAATGATTATCCATATGAGAAAAATGAAGTTAGTATTATGAATATATGACAAGATTGAAGTTTATGCAATAAAAGTTTCTAGTCAGAACTCATAGTATCATGAAAAATAAGGAATGATATTGAATGAATAATGAATTCATGAACATATAACGCTAGTAAGATGGTGGTTGGAGTTAATCGAAAGGAAACCCTGAATCCGGATTTCATGCTACTCAGCACTCGTCAGCAAGGTGTATCTGTAATCTTGAGGAAACTGGTGCTCCTTGACGGATTCGATCCCATGTCACACAGCTTCACAGTCAGAGACGTTACCAATGATCTATTCAGGCTGTGACTAACCCGAGTCTAGGGTTTCCTGTTGACTATCTCTAACCCCTATCTTATCTCAACATAGTGCACGCATTGTCGAGTCAGCTAGACTAGTGGCCACATTGCAACTTGGTCGATAGCAATCGATATGCACTAAAAAGGACTTGACACACATGACATTTATCACCACGCTGTGATCAATCAATTGTGATATAACGCTAGTCTTAGGAGACTTTTAATAACATTCTCAGTATATTGTGACTTTTACTTACGAAATAAATATTTAGTAGATGAACGATCCTTTTTTTTAAAAAGTATGTATTGACTGAACTAGTTAACAACAAATATCATATTTTTCAAAGATGTATAGAAAAAAATTCTTCCTCAAAATCAGTACTATTAATGTAAATCACATATTTTATGGTAATTTTCATCAGTAAACAAATACTAGTACATAAGGTCTTATTTCTTACTCACATTTCAATCTCTTTGAACAAATCAAGATTATAATACACTAAAGTTTTGTAAGATTTCAGTAAGAAACAAAAACGTATATTTTGTAAATGATAACAGGTGATCGGTGATATCGTGATCTTTTAAACAATAATTAACTGAAATCTATCTATCTACTCACCTATCTTTATCTATCTATCCATACCTATTTATCTATCTATCTATTTATCTATCTATCTATCTATCTATCTATCTATCTATATATATATATATATATATATATATATATAGTACTTTTAATTATGCTCATAATATATAAACACAGAAATTAGGACAAATAGATATAAATTCAATGAAACAATATTCTTTTCATCTATTCAATAATGAATAAATCAGTCTATTATTAATAATACTTTATGCTGTACAGTATTAATATAAATATAAATAAATATTGGTATGTACACTAGAAAAAAGTGTTTACATAAACAATTTATTACATCAAAATATAATATTCAATATACATCAACTAAATTAATATTATATAACTGGATGAATTCAAAAGTTAGTTAAATAATCATAAGTTGATATTATGAGTTGTAGTATGACAATAATCATATTACTTAGTTTATTGAATTATATTACATGTATATTATCAGAAAAAGTTTTGTATATTCAACGATTAATTCTTTAACGAAATAAAATTAATATCAAAATGAATTATGTGGATATGATAATCAATTTGAATAGTTGAGATCATGAATTAATTGAAGTCAAACTCATAATGTAAACTATTTAAATGACATTAAGCATAATATGTAATATTAGGCAATATTTTTTATAAACTATTTTAAATATTGTTTTCATCATGAAATCAAGTTTATTACAATATTGAAAAGAGCAAGAATAAATATTCTAACAGAATAGCATGAATTCATTTTATTTCATTTGGGTCATGTCAGCTGCTTACAACTTGTGATATATTAAATTATAATTACATAATGGGTTTAAATTACTTACATGAAAAGGTTTGGTTGGATGTTATATTGAAGACATATTAGTATAGTATAACAAAGATATAAATAAATTTAACAAACAAATTTATTTTAACCATCTCCCAAATTAGTAATTTTATTTTATCAACTGAGCTCTACTCATTATATTCCTATCAATACTTGTTTCTAGTCGTTTGAACTGTTGTCACAATCAATGTTGTAGAATATTCTTTTACATAAGGTATATATTTACAATATTCAGTATATTAAATTTTCAGAATGGGTTTTGTGGAGAGTTTAAGAAATTTCACAGGTTGAAATCATGAGTCAGTTGAAGCTAGACCACCATTGAAAACCTGGGAGCACTGGACGGGATCCCGCACCACGCGGGATCGTGGATGCGCACTGCTGAGGAGTCCCATACCAGGACGAAGCGGCCGTCTAGTGCTTCCAGGTTTTCAATGGTGGTCTAGCTTCAGCTGACTCATGATTTCAACCTGTGAAATATATTAAATTTATTTACACTAATATATCTTCAATATAACTTCCAACTAAACCCCCTCTTGTAAGTAATTTAAGCGCATTATGTATTTATGATTTAAAATATCATAGTTCGTAAGCAGCTGACGAGACGCAAACGAAATAAAAGTGAATTCATGATATTCTGCTAGAATCTTTGCTCTTGCTCTATTCAAGATGATAAAGGGAACTAAGTGTATGAAATTTTCTACAATAGAAGAATAAAATTTTAATAGTGAATTTATGAATTGTAATGCATGTTCAAAATATGGAGTTCATGATTATTTGCCATTAAGTTAGCTAAAACTTAAGATAATCTATGGTATTTGTTGATAGTCATAGAAGTTACCAACAAAGTAAAATAAATGAAGAGTACTGATTCAAGTTTTGATATCTACATTAATGATATTTTTATTGAGTATACATACATTTAAGTGATTTAGAGTTTTGTATGTGCGCATACACGATCCCGCCTCGCGAGATTCGAATCAAGAACCTGTCATTCTTGCGCGAGGTCACCTAATCGCTAGACCAAGATGCAGACCGGCATCCGACGGTGCTAATATCTAACTTCAATTAATCCACCAAATTGAGCGACACATCCACCATTGTCATCAGTGAGTTACTATCTCACGACAGATCTGGTTGAATTCCACTGGTCATTGACTCTCACTAGAACTCTAGGATATACCTCTTGCAGTCGGTCACTAGTGAGCATATGTTGATTAATATCAGATTGGGTTTTTGTGGATATTGTAGTAATGATATTTCAATATCATTTCACTTAATTGATTAGGCATAAACCTGTCAAAACATAATTATCTTTTTTTTTTCAATGATATTGTAGGAAAATCATTTAAGAGATTTTGATATGACTGCAGGAGAGATAAATAGGTTAAACAAACTAGAAAGGAGGTAATTATTATCATATTATTACTCTCTATTTTTTATTTAGAAAATATTCAACAACTCGTTTTAAGAAACACAGTGGCAAAAGAAATACAACTAAAAATCAATGGAATACAAATAAGGTTTTGAGTAAAACAACTCGACAACAGAAGAATGTTCTGATAGATCGACCAGTTGAAACAAAGACATGTAATAAACAGAACTTGGGGAAACCTATTAAAGGTTCTTCAACGTTTAATAGTTGTTTATTCTTTTTGTATTTAACACAGACTATCCACTTAGATTCTTGTCATGTGAACCACAACAGGCATGTTCATTGTTTTAATTCACCGTTTGAAACATTTGAGAAGAACAAACATGTGACAAATGTCGGTGAGTATATTATCAACTTTCTAAATTTTCTAAATCAAAAAGCTGAAATTAATTTTAGCATTTCAAACTTGACAGCACTCTCTATAACACTTAGATGCAAATAGTTATATGATGAATATATGTCGTTATGCTTATAAAAGTTTCATTTGAAAACAAGACATGAGTGGAGTAATCCACTTTTTGAACATTTTAAGTTCAGAGTTTGGATCGTATGCATAACCGTTGAAAACACCAATGCATCAGACAACGGAACTCAATCACTTCAGGATTAAGAAGATTATGTATTACTAAAATAGGATGCTTTTAATCTAAGTTGAGAATTTTAACTATAAAACTCTAACTCAATGATATCAAAGTGAGTTTTTGATTAAATCCATGTGAGGTTTTGTGTGCAGATCACTGTTTCATAATAAAATACAAGAACTGTTATCTTTCATCTTCTATGTTCTTCATGTTTCGAAAAGCATCTAATTAATTTCTCTGGAAATTAGTAGAATGTATAAATGCACAGACTCAATATTTGTGAATATCTTTTAATGATCAAAAGATTTGTTCCTAAAACTTAATTCAAATCACCTTAAATAAGTATTCAAAATATCCATTAAAAAGAAGCAACCGACATTTTTTTTTATCATACATAATTTATATTTTACATTTGAATGTTATGTAATAATTCAATTCTTCTCTAATCATTTTACTATTGAAGAGACGATGACGATTTTTTTTCTTCTGTTAATGATGAAAATCGATATTGTTAAGACCATATTCTAGAATGAAATATAAATTAATCAAATCTAAAGTCATTCCTAATAGTTTTAATTGAGCTTTGTATATTCGATGGAGTAAATTAATTTTAAAAAAAGAAAAGAAATTAGGAACAAAAAAACTGTTTTCTGTAGTTATACACTTATCAGTAGTTTAATTGTGCATATATAATTACAAATATATTTCAATAAACCAACTAAATAATGTTTTACTTAAGTTTTATTAATTTATGTTATTTCCTATAATTATGTTATTCTCAGATAATGCAAATCAATCTTGTCTTTCAAAACGTTATGAAATAAGAAAAAATGAGTAAGCAACAAAATGATAAATTTGTTATATTCTTAATTTTGTTTTATTTAATATTGAACATTATTTATTAATTTAAACCTTAATATATAAACTTATTTCTATCTAAACTAGATTGTTATGATATTGTTCAAGCTAATAATCAATAATTCACAATGGAATCAATCAACTTAAAGGACGTAATACGAATAATTGTATCCATCTACGATACTAAATTTAATTGATTTTTATTCTTAACCGTAGTAATGGCACTATTTTTCACTTTATGTAATATCAAACGTTCAAAATACATCACATGTCAAATTCATAGGTTTCAATAGTTGAAATTATGAGACCACCATGAAAAACCTGGAAGCACTGGACGGCACATTGCTGAGGAGTCCCATACTAGGACGAAACAAAGTTATAGTTCTAGACTCATCGATATTTAACTGAAGATAATCCTTGAAAATGTAGATGTACAAACTATGACGTTTTATGAAAAAAATGTGAATATGTGTGAACCAGTAATGTTACTTATGCCATTATTTAAAAGAATATAGGTTTTCCTGTATTGATAATCTTTACTGAACTTCGATCAGTCTTTGCCGACAGATATGAATCTTATGCTGATTGCTTCAATTTTTACAAATGTTTGTAGAGTTGATGGATTTGCGACTGTCAGTGAAGTCCCATTTTTGACTCGTTCGCCACATGTGTCTGCAACTAAGTGCTAGTCTTCCATGGATAACGCGTTTGCGGCTAGAATTAGAAGATACTGGGTCCCAGTCGCTGGGTAGACATTGGATGTGTGATTCAACTTCATGCAGATGATGAAGTTCGAATAGGGTGAAACATGTATCCTGGATTTTACTACTAGCCATAAATCTATCCATTATATATTTTATGTTACAATATTTAACCTTCTTGTTTATTCTTTAGTAATAGTTCAGTTAATTAAGATTATATGTTTGCCAATGATTGTGCTATCACAGGCAATGCAATTACTTGGCGATAATTAGTTTCAATACTAAACACAAACTAAGCATGATATCTCGATACATCACAGTAATTACCAAGAACGTCTGTTCAGGGGATTCAATATTCTAGTCTAGTTCAGGTAATCAAGTCTGAATTGAAAATCAATACATGTACAGATGCAATGTCAACCTTCATTAAAATCGATTAATTTAACAATACTGTTTTACAATATAGTAATGACAACATGATATACGCTCATTTGCTCAATATGATGGCACTATAATGATAAACCGAATGAATAAAACTATTTACGAATACAGGTTATTTTTAATTTTGACAGTCAGTCGCTCTGTTACCAAATGATCAATCAATCACTTGTCACTACCCAAGTGTCATGACATTTCGTAAAAGTTTATTTTAAACTGAATTATTGACGATAATACTATTGTTAAAAGATTATAAAACTCCATTAATTACTATCGAAATGCTGTAACAAACTAATAATAATGGACTACTTCAAGTTAAAGTAAATATGGCTTATCATTTTCATCTCTAGTATGAGCCTACATCAATTAAAGTGTATTTATTCTTTTATCCCTATAATTATTCCCGGATTTAGATGAGTGTAAAATATCTTTACTTATCGTAACTCTCTCTCTATTGAGACGAGTTTCAATAAAATACACATGAATTCAGTGATTAAAATACACAATGTGTAAACGTTTTCCTGGTTCAAATTAGTTTTCATCACAGATAGGCATCCGGTCTAACTTCATCGAAAACTACCAAACGTTGGACAACGTCTTGGGTTCACTAAAGAATTTCCTTGAAGGTAACCAACCACGAATCTACAAGAATTTTAATACAGGATATTCGAATCATCTGTTCAGTAAAATACTTCTAGATTAATTGTTGCAATTTTAATCAGTAGAGTTATTTTTACTTTCTTAAACAGTTCTGTGCAGTTTATATAGTTACTCTGTTAGGGAAATAACTGACTTGCATACAATCGGACCTATTTAAGGTAAGTGAAAACATAATTATCTGGAATGAAGAGAAATTTCATTATTTTATAAAACACCTCCAACATTTTTCTGTCGTTTATAATAAAGTAGAAAACCTTTAGAAAAGTTTTCATCTTAAAATTGTATATCTTGCATCAAAGTATAATTACATCATGTCTATCCTGAAATGTAGTACTCGTACTGATGAAAATAAGAAACTTCAGTGAAATATATCCTACTTGAATGTTGTTTATAGATTCATAAACATTATAACATGGTGATATTTGATTAGTAGGAAGTTATTATTATATTTTAATAGAGTGATACGAAATGATACGAAAAAATAATCATAATAGTAATGATTGTGTAACGTCTGTAGATTGTGTACAACAGAGAAAAAAGTGTAATGCTAGTGTGGTGTGTGCTACTTATATTGACATAAGTAGTGTATGACGTTACTCGTGAACGGAAGGTTTGGTAGCAGAGAGACAAGAGGATCAAACAGTAAAGAATGATAACAGAATGCAATTTGTATGAAAATGCAAGAACAATGAAGTCTGAGTCATTATGAGACAATTGATGGCCATTTTGTAAATTACGTATTTACTATTTGATTGTTAGATTTTATTAACAAGTCCTATAATTCTGAGTCAAATACATTGGATTGTCCCCACCCGTGTTCTGTTCACTACACTAGTAGTTTAACAATCCATTCTGGAATGCAACAACACAAGTATGTTTGTCTTATTGATAAGAAAGTAGATATCATGTTGAATAAGTTAAAAGTTGAACTAATCAGGGGAATATGAAAATATTCAAAAAATGGACGATATTTCAAACATGTAAATAAATGGGATGAAACTACAGGTGAAAGCTTATGATTTAATGGCACACAATAATATATCTTATATATGCAAATGTTGGACTTCATGAAATTACACTTACTGTTAAAATACTAAAACTGACCAAATTTGGTCGGTGACATAATCGTCTTTACCGCATACTATTGCTCAGTTATGAAGCTGAATAAAAACTGTATTTCAAAAGGTAACAGTAATTTATAAAATTTTGTTGCATTGCAAATTATTTATAAATTAAACACATTATTATACTCATTGTTATATATGAGACTTTTTCATTTTTAAATGTAAACGTTTTTACGTTGTATGTCAAAGTTCAATGCATTTTACTAACTTACTTTAGATGTTCATTTAAAAAACTTAAAAATCTATGGAAACAACAATTTGATCAATTCATTCTGCCTGTTCCAACAAGACGTAATACTGGTACAAATAAAACTACATATACAGAAAAATCTACTATCACCAATCAGAAAAAGGAAACCCTTGAAATGTCTCCTCAAGTGAAGAACCGTTCAAACAATCAATCCGAAGAGATCAGTCAACACTTAAGCCCATCCAAATCATTTAGCTCCTTATCCTCTTCGAAATATGAAGTTAGAAGCTATCAAGACTATGGTGAAAATTTCCTAAAAAACTTTGAAGATAAGTATACATTTAGTGATTCATCAAATTTAACTGGATCAACGATTTATCTATATTGTTCAACATGTAGTCAGATTTTCTCATGCAGAAACATTGATGAATTAAAACAACTGAATTTAATTAAATCTAGCTCATCTTTATCTTCTTACAACTTGACCTCTGAGGACGAAGATATCGGTACGTAATGAAAAAGGAAATTGTTGAATAACATAATATCTAAACAATTACTGTTGAATAAAATATTTAAATTAAAGATTTAAACTGTAATTGATTGTCAATTTATTTCAAGAACTATTATTTGCATCTGATAGATTAACAGGGTTAATTTAGAAAGAAAAGTTTTGTCCATAAAAATTTTACACCATCCATAACATTAACTGAGTTGTTCAATGTCTTGATGCTCATTTCAAACAAAATATGATATGAAAGCTAGGCATGATTTACTGATGTTTAGTGTTGAGATACACAATCATATTTTATTTAAGAAAACGTAATAGAGTTCACAGAGTATTCAACTTCATACAATGAGTTCTAGCAGTTGGGACTACATTTACACATTTCTTTCATCCAATTTTATATTTTTTCATTTAAATGTTTATATGACCTGAGGTATTTATATCTGATTTTGTTTTATATTTTTTTATTTCATAGAAAGTCAGTTTGTTTTCGACGAATTATTTCCATCATACTGGGAATATATGAACCCATCATATGAATGGATCAAATCTTCACGTCCTGTTTCTGCACCACCAATATTGACTTGTTCATCAAAGAAATCAGCATAACAGATAAAACAATAAACTAATTCTAACCAATAACCTTCAATTTTAGTTCAGATTCTGCTAACTTATGAAATGTTTCTATTTTTAAAACAAGTAGTACTTCACGCAAATCCATTTAGTTTTTACTTAAATTAGTCTATAATCCACTATTTAAAGGATAAATTAAGAGATACAACTAAAAAAAAGTAATGTTATTTTGAGTAGTGTACATGCAAAACTGTACGATTCACAACTCTATAAACCATTATATTATCAAGCATAATGATAGCAGGCGAGACATTACATTCTGTGAGATATTATTTTTTCTAAAATGTCATTTCACATGACGTTTGTTTTACAATAATACCAATAAATTATAATATGAGTTTACATGATTTGAGTGATTAAAGATAGCATGTGATTATTCAAAGATGGGTTTTATGATAACTTTCAAATAGGTTGAACAAAGTGTACACAGTTTAGCTGTCTTTTTCGACCAGGATATTTCAAGCAAATTTAGGTCTGAAAAAAACATGATTATTATACCTACCGTTGATAATATATGCAAAACGAAACAAGTAGGATATTTATGTTATTATTAATCAAAAGGCATTTACAAAGTAACATACCAAAATTATATCGAAACAACTGATAACTATCATTTACCAGTGGTTAAATTAACGAAACTTTGATTGCATCTTAATACTAACATTTAATGATTATGAGAAATTCTTGTCGATGGAACTGTCATCCAGCCTAACATGTGATTAGACATAGGAGCAGTATGACATTTATTGTGATAAGTGTATAGAAAATTCAGGAGTAAACCTATTACTGTCATCTGTACAAAACACATAGTAATACTCGAAGTTTTTATTTCTATATAACTATTATATATTACTTCAATGATTATTCTTTCTGTTAAAGTTAGCGAGTTCATAACAATTTCACTGGTCTTATGCTAACAAAGATATAGACTTTACGGCTGCGATTACTTCAACCACTACTTTTCGAATGTTTGTTAGAGTCGTTATTCAAAACAACGCATATCTAACTTATTTGATGAGAAGATAGTAGTTTTTTTTGTTATACTGTAGCTTAGACTTATATATTTAACATTATGTATACCAAAATATACTACATAATCATTACGTTTTATTTGAATTCTTAAATGGCAACAAAACTTAAGCAGAATGATGTTTATGTCTAATTAAGGCTGTTTGTTCAATGTAATTAAGAATAGAATATAGAAAAAAGTTATTTTTTGTTCAATATATCGGTATCCTATTTTAAAGGTTATATTGAATTCAAATAACAAACGGATACAAAATACATTATTATACGGTTGATTATGTCATCCAGAGATATTCGTTATTTACTTTAAGAAATTTTTAGTTTATTGTGAACGTTCAATTCAATTTTGAACTGGATATTCATGGAAAATGTTTTATTTAGTTCTATACTTTTAAACATTAGCTGACACCAAACATATGATTATGTCAAATTAAAGTACAATGTTAATTTACACATCTAATCAGCTGTTCGAAAATTTTCTCAGTAAACATTGTTATATTTTATGAACATTCAGTATCATGAGAATATCCAGTGTGGTTCTGTTTATGAATTATTTACATTTAGACTACATAAATTGTGATGGTTTAACTGTCCATAATATTAATTTATTTAGAGAAAATTTTCAACTCATGTTCAAACAATTTTTAAGTCACTTATCTCTTTTAAACCTGAAGTAACCGACTTTTACTTCTAAGGTCATTTTATTAGTAGAAAAGTGTTTTGTTGAGGATGTAGTAATTTAATAATTGAAATCATGAGTCGATAAAAGCTAGATCACCATGGAAAACCTGGAAGTACTGGACAACAGTTTCGTCCTAGTATGGGACTACTCAGCAGTGCTCATCCACTATTCCGCATCGTATGATTCAAACCCTGGACCTATCAGTCTCGCACTAGAGCGCTTAACCACTAGACCATTAAGCCGGCATCCAATGGTGTTAATGTCTAACTTCAACTAATCCATCAAACTGAGCGACACATCCACCATTATCATCAGTGAGTTACTATCTCACAACCGACCTAGTTGAATTCCACTGGTCACGGCTTCTCACTAGAACTCCAGGAAATATATCTTGAAGTCAGTCTCTAGGATCATATAATAATTACTATCAGAAAGGATTTTGTGGAGATTTTTAATAATTTTATGCTTAAATTGATGAGTCGGTTAAAGCTAGACCATCCTGAAAAACGTGGAAGCACTGGACGGCCGTTTCGTCTTATTTTGGGACTCCTCAACAGTACACATCCACGGTATTAACACCGTTGGATGCTGGCTTAGTCGTCCAGAGTTTAAGAGTTCGTATGCGAGACCGAGAGTCATTTTATTAAATTAATTTTCATGTTTTACTTTCTTATGTAGAACATTAGTATAGTAATCAGTAAACGTTTTAGATCAGATGGGCTTTTGAAAGAATCAAAAGTAATTCACACAATCACTAGTAGAAAAAAAGGAATTCAATCGACTTCCAATAAAAACATTCCTTTGCAATAATATCAAGTTTATCATTAATATGTCCACTGGAATTTCGATACATCGAAGTAACACACTCGTAATCATTATTTCTAATAGGTGAGGAAATCGAAACAATTTCTAAATAAATAAAATAGACTTACGGTGTATATGTGGAAAACTTTTGCAACGTACCATTAGAATATTTTATACAATCGAAAAAGAAATTAAATCATAGGTTGCAGAAAGCTGGAAACCACTAAAATATTGAACTAAGAAATATTTAGGGAAGAAAGTTATCATAAAAGTGATACGATTTATTTGATGCTTCTATATAAAAAATTCACATAAATTTCTAAGGATATCAACTGTGATATCTAATAAATACATTTCACGAGGTCTTATATGGTGTTTCTAATAGACTTCAGATTTTATTCGCTTTCTGACTCGTTAGCACTCTACTATAAACAATCACCAATCATATTAATGGTTAAACGGAGCACAAATCTTAAACTGTCAAGCTTATTAAGTGGAATTGTATAGTAATACGATCTAACGGGCGTATTTTTTAAACGCTAGTTATGTCTCGTTGAGACGGTGGCTTATTTATCACAGATTCCTCAGGAAAAGGTCTATTAATGAGGTTAACTTGACCAGAGCCTAAGGTGTTCCAAATTTTAAACTAATAGACCGAAAAATTAGATCTTTATTGAGTCCGTAAGTTTCTACCTTAGGCATTTCAAATTTATTATTTTGAAGGGTTAAGTGGGGTTAGCACAATGTAGATACAGGAAGGTTAAAGTAATACCGCAGTTTTAAAAATTTCAATAGAAAAGCAAACTGTTCATTAAAATATTACAGTTGAATGAAAACTCAAAATTACATCGTATTATTTAACGGAAGATGTCGGTACTGCTAATTCATGCAAATTCAGTTGTGTTTTACATATTAACATAAAATATTAACTTCGGATTCCTAACTTACTGTATATCTTCATTAAGACGTTTGATTCACGGTGAGACGAATAACTTTAGAGAACTGACACTTGTTAATCAAGGAAATACTGTACAAAGTGATTTAGATCTTTTGTTTTTTCGTCATAGGAGAAAATTGCATGATATTTTAGTTTTTAGGTATCAAATATCATAAACCATTATACGTTAAATGCTTCAAATTTCAAACGGAAGCTCCGTACATAATAATATTATTACGTTTTACATAATACTACTTGCTAATAATAAGTAACTCAACAATAAAAACAAATGAAAGATTTTATAGTGACCGTAAACAAGAATGGTGGTTGCTTAACAGTAAATCAGCGCGAGATACATGAAACACCATACAAAATAAAATTGTCACCGGAGTGAACTTATACAATTATCAATCAATGTTGTCTATTCCTAGAATCGATCAATGGAAAGCTCACCTTCATAGTCTTTGTACATCATTAATAAATATTCCTACTTTAATACACCAAGTTCGTGAAATTTATCCTAATGACTTTTATTTTTAAATCATTTTGAATATAATTTCAGTTATCAAAATTAGCTTTAATATTCCAAACATAATTTAGGAGAAATTTTTATTCTGGTCAAAATGTCATCTGCAAACATATGAGATACATGATTAATTACATAAATGACAAATATGTTATTAAGATTTAGGCAAATGTAGAATGTTTGAAGGTACTACTGTAATCTTTATCTTAGTGATAATATAATTGTAATCTCACTATTATTTCTCTCACTATATCTGACCCATATTTATTCTGATCAGAGATCTTAAATTTCACTTCACGAATATGCAGATCCAAGTTAACATTTTATATGAATCATATCAACATTAACAATTTTATTGTATTTTGTTTATCACAATCCTAAATTCACATGCTTTAAACGAAGTACTTTCCTCTTAATCTGGCCATTTCTAGGATTAATAATTTGGAAATATAATTGTAGAACCGGAAGCGAATTTATCAGAAACAATATTCTTCGTTTTAATATTAGACCTTTAATATGATGGGGATCTTTAAACGATAATATAATTATTAAATTATTTCACATTAATTATTCTCCATAATCAATAAATTATACCTGCATAGGTAAAATATCATTATTATTTAATCGTTTGTTGTTGGAAAACTGGATAACATGGACATCTCAGATAATAAATGCACATTTGTAACATAATTCTTCTAAGCTCATAAAAGCCCTTTACATCTTATAGAAACTTCTACAGATTTACTAAAATAACCAAATAATAAATATGATCAATTCATAGGATGACTGATTTTCAACACAGCACGACTGAATAGCCATTTTATTGAGACTATATATACTATACATGATGAAAGAACTTATAACTAATACATTATCCACTAAAATACTTTTAAATGAATAGTGTACACGTGTATAGTTTAGTTTTCTTGAATAAAATAGATTTAATCAGTTGTTTATTACAAAAGAAGCAATTTCTTTCAAATTGAAACAGTAATGCAGTTTTAGAACAAAAATTAAAACGACCAAATATGCTTAAATCTAAATCTTTTAAATGTTTAAGTGTGTAAATTCAGGTAACTGACAGCATCACTACGAGTATCATAATTTTTGAAATTGTGGTTAATATTGAATGATTAACAATGTCTTATTAATGATCACTATAAGAAGTTAATTAGTGGTTCGATTAGCTTATGTTTCTTTCCATCCATTATTTCAAACTTGGGCTTCCCTATAAATGTTTGTTATGGACTGTCTTTATGATGATGCTTTGCTTGTTAAAAACAATCAAATAAAACTGTTTTTGAACAGAGTAAAGAATCCAGCACTAAAAGATTTATGTTCAATTACGTCATTACATAGTCGATGAATTAGTTTAGCTCTATGATCTTTTGTTACTATATTTGACAATCCAGAATCTATTCTCAGTTTTAAGTATGTAAACATTAACTTCACTTAATCATACAATAATCATTCATATATCATAGTGAAAACTATCACGTAGTTTATTTGATATCATTATGATAAGACAATGTAA